CGACCGTGTTATCTATATTAGCAGTGACGCTTTTATGAATATTCTCCCCGTCGGTTATTCCGAAATGCGATGCACATATTCGATGCGGACGCGTACTTAGCACGCGGCGGAATTTTCGTACCATCGAGAATGAACGCGACGAAACTGATTAATTAATTAAACGAATCGGCGCGCTGTGCGTTGCTTCGGATGCAAATGAGGAAAAAATTGCGAATTAATTGAAATGATTAAATTGCGACAGCAGAAATTGAGGTCTTTTTAAAGCTTTTGCAGGAGACAATATGATATAGCTTCTCTTTGTATACATTTTTTTCCATTTCTTCATGTTTTTCAGTGGTGTAGGACTCTGCCGGTAGAATTAATCTTGTCAAAAAACGTTTAATAAATTTGTTAAATAGTATAGAGAAAGAGAGAGATTCTAAAATAACACACATAAAACGGAAGGATAATAAATGAATGGATATATGTTTCTCAGTTACAAAATTTTATAGCAGTTTTTACTAAACTAGATCCACATAAACGAGCGAACTAATTATTATTATACGGAGAAAATCTCAGTTCGTGTAATTAAATAAATAACAGACTAAAATTGATGATATCTTGATAATATAAACAAGTGTCGAATATGTAGATTACGTCATTCTGAACGAAAAAGTCTTGTACCGTACAATCACGTAAAATTTTAAGTTATTGAAAATAACCATGTACACAAGCTTCTTCAATTAATAAATTTATTTGCGACCTTTTTGTTCCGGATGATATAGTGCGCATTACAGTCCTGCATATGTTATTACCTCATAAGATACCATAGTGTTGATTATTTTAATACTATAAAATTCTCTCCGTGTATTATTACATCGTCGTCGTGAATTTACCAATGCGTAGTTCTCTTTGAGAAAATTGAAATAAAAAGTCACTTCCTTCTTGTGAATAAAGCTAATGTCTTGAAATATCTTTAAATAGCTTTTTAAATAACATATCTTTTAAACGACGGATATTTCATATCATTCTCTCCCTTTTGTTAGTTTTATTTCTTCGCTTGGTATTTACATGCCGGCAGACTTAGTTAGAGCAATTAATATGTTAATACCGGAAGGAGGAGCGAAATTCTCCGTGTGCCGTTAAATTGTCTCGAATTAAGCGCCACCTCGAGCCGACCGTTTTACCGCCGTGGATATAAAGAATTATTATACATTATGCTGGCCGAGTGCGTCCGCTTTAAATCACCTCTCTCCCCTTCCCTCTCTTAATGGAGCCTAATTAGATAGTAATGACTTTATTAGATGCACCCGGAAAATTTAGCCGCGCTCGTTATCCTTGCGCTATGGAGCTAATGTAACCGGCGGATAATTGCGAAGTAAATTCAAAGGCGAGCGAGCGCGAACGCCCTTCGTCGCGGGAGTTACCTGTATCGTTTCGATGGTTATCTGTAATCTCGCTAACGAGAACGAGGATGCGCGTAATTTCGCCTTGGGTGCGAGTGAAGACGGTCCGCCCGCGAAAACGTCGTTCTCCTCGGATTAATGCGTCCTTCTTTCCCTTCGATCGGAGATATTATAGTTTCGCGGTATTCAACGGCCGTTGTGTTTCACGCAGCCTCTTGCTCGGAAAACTCTCTCCCGGGCGCAAAGTTGAAGATGAAAATTCTAGACATCTAGATTAACGTGAGAATCCGAGTGAATACTCGGTTCATCGGAGAAGGGGATGTCTTTGGATGAATTTTGTGAATTGTTCCAAGTACACGTAAAGAAAACGGTGATTTTCTTAGAGCGAAATTTTTCAGAATGAAATTCTCACGCTCGAAAAGTCGAACTTTCGAGTGATTTCTCACTCCTGCAGAATGGACCGTGAATGTTTTCAATTGATGAGTGAGTCGGATGTACTCACAGGAACAATTCACTCGTATGGAATGCACTCTTGAACGACACGCATTCACTCTTTTGCGAACGGTGGTATTTTCACTATCGCTTCGTGTCCATTTATTTTGAGCGGGATTTTATTTCGAGAAATTTAGAGACGGCGCGAATAATCACGATGCAATATCAATCCCTCGAATTGTTGAGCGAACGCGAGTCTCAAACAGAGGGAAAATTTAATACCACCTTGTAGAGGATATTTCTTTTCAGGGATGAAAGATCTAGAAAGGCTCGCGATATAACTTCCCATAAAATAATTTTCGCTAAAGCCACGGGACTAAGAGAGTAATATACAATTTTCGATAAGCGCGTCGTTCAAAAATCCGACACAGGAATCTATCCGGAGATTTTACGTACACAGAGCGGATACAAAATTAGGTAGAGCACGTACAGCGAAGTAATGTGTTAATATAGATGTAATATTAGTCTCGTAATCGGATTGCAAAAGTTCTATCGTTGTCGAGAACACGATGGAATTCCGATGAGATATCCCGTCCGTTATTTCATTTCATCAATTAATATCGCGCTAATCTTCTCCCTTTTAGAGTAGAATTAATATACGCGAATAATGCGATTATCAGGCTTAATCGATAGGTTTAGGCTTCTCACGAGTGAAGCGTGTTTTCGCGCACATCATCGATCATCTTTTTTGCTGCTGTTAACAAAGACTATTGCGGCGATTTTAAAGAATGAACCTTTATCGGTGAACCTCGAATTTATTAACGTTCTTAATTAATTATTTGCTTGCGATGGCTTTATCGGAGATATCGGGGAGGAAAACGGGATTGGAATCACCGAGGCAAACGAACGTACTGTTTTCCGGCTTTGTCTCGGATTTTAGTCATACGGCTTCCTGAATCATTTCTTTCCGTTTGGATCGCTTGTGTGCACACAAGTACGCTCACATAGATGGTCAATTAAAAGAATATCTGACTCGGCTGCTGATTAGTTGCAGGTCGATCGAGCGTATCATGACGGTTTGAAAACTTTCCGATCCCTTTTCAAGCTGCGCGGAAAAGAAGCTTTGATTCGTTCACGTCGGGAGGTCAATAACGAAAGTTGTCCGCTGGTGATTAACCGTGCGCGATCTAAGTTATGTTCCGATTGCGGGGTTGAAAATTTCGATTTCACGCTGCTTAATAAACCCGCGCGCTCGGGCGTGATGTCATTCAGGCGAATTCAAATAAAGGTGGATTAATAAAGTGCGTGAAATTGCGAAGCGCCGCTACATCGAATCTCCCGCTGCTAATCGCGAACTCTCCGTCGAACTGCATCGAGCAACGTCCGGAATCGATGAATCTCGGGAGTTCCCTTAATTTGAAATTCGCCGTCGTTCGAGAAACGCATAAAAATTTGTAATACATATGGTTGATGCAAAAATTTTTTAATCGAATATATAATATTTATTTACTTTAAAATACGACCAATCAATTAAAGGGGTCCGTGCGTTCGGCCAAATATAGAGTGTCGGAAAACTCCGGCACAGCCGTGGTTGAACGGGAAAATCATGTAATTTGCTTGATAGATATTAAACTTATGAAAGATAATAAACGTATCTCCCTTGATGTGCGCCATTGGAAATGGTGCGTCATTTAATAAGCGAATCTCCTTAAGTACGCGCAGTTTTTTCGACGACCTGTCATCTTTCCGATAGCTGCACGCGCTCGTAGAAATTCTAGGATTTCTGAGCGAAGAATGTGGAACTAAAATGAACGTCACTCTAATGACAAAATAATATAAAGAAGCAAAAAATTGTTCGGGGGAAACGCATCAATTGGCTCAGTTTTTCCACCACACTAGGAAATCGCGTGTCCGAAGCATCACTCTTTAAAACCGATAGTTCGCAATTTCTTTTCTAGGAAATTGGATCCCAATTTAAATTTGTCAAGTTTCTCATGTGAATAATCTTACGTGCCGTGTCGAACTTGCCTTGGCGGTAATAACATCGAAAAACAGGGCATTAATTAAATTTAGAAGAGAGTCATCGTCAGGGCGCGAGCGGTCCACTCGTAAATTTCAAGAGTGTTCTAGTTCAGTTCCGAAGTTTAATCCCCGAGTTCCGTGAAGGCGCGCGCGATAAAGCTCGACCTCAAAATCGCTTGAAAATTTCCGGAAACTTAATCCCCCGGCTTTAACTAGACCGACGAAAACGGCGGGGATCAAACTTTCCCTCTCTCTTCCTCTACGCAAAATCGTAAATTCGATTCTTCGCCTCGGTCGTCCCGCGCGTCTTAAACTCGCGAGCGTCCATTGTGGAGATTGCCGAGGGAAGTCGTAGCGCGGTCATTCGTTCGCCAAGTTTGCTCGCGCAATTTCAACAGTCCGACATTAGCCCCCGGAATGAATAGCCTCCCGACGAGAAATCCTCGCCGAAGCTAAAAATCAGGAAAAGCCGCACTCGAGAAATTCAAATCGCACGATATAAACACGCTAGAGCGCGCTCACGAAATAGTTGGTCGTATGCTAATGACGCCTTTTATGGATGTTCTATATTTATCTTCGAGAATTACTCGCACGGAAATCAGCGAGACATTCTGATGAGAAATTCAGATGAGCGTAATTTTGTGAGTAAAATTCCGCTCTACGAACGGAGTGACAGCGAGTCATTCGAGAATCGGAATGATTTTTTACTCCTGCAGAGTGGATTTCCGCTCAGTATCGTCGAGTGAAAATATTTACTCGAAATTGAGGAGTGAGTTCATAGGGACGAATGTTGAATAAAAAAAATAATCTTACGAATAATGGATTCAATGAAGCGTTTACATTGTGGGCAGCCACAAAGCATCCATTTCACATTTTTCAAATGTAGAACATATATAATTATATGTGATATAGAGACAAAATTCATATATATATATATATATATATATATATATATAATCTTTTCTTCCCGGATTATATTTTCACGTTGATATCTCACACGTGTCACAAAACATAATTTCTGACATCTCTTTCAAGCGGAAAAGACACAAGTTCGCTAAACTCGGTCGGAGTAAATCGGAAATTGCGAGTTCGGGGGGACGCGCTCGACCGCTCGTCTTGTCGGAAGCTCGAGGTAACCACTCCTTCTTCCGTCTGTTGCAGGAGTTGGAGAGGAGTTACACCCTCTCAACCCCCGGGGGCAGCAGCCCCGTTTGCTGTCCGCCTTGTAGCCCACCGCCCGCGCCGGCCGCATACATATCGAGCGCACGCGCCTCCTCGCGTAGACTCGGCGCCGGAAGTGGTCCCGGCGGACCCACATCCCCGGAAAGGGATCCCCTGGGAAGACTGTTAAGGTAAGTCCCCGACGAACCAGCTCGCATGACTTTCGCACGCCGCGACCGAGAAGCATCGTCACGCTTTTGAGAATTGCTTTTGAGAATCTTTGTTTTTTATCGTTTGTAGGATTCGATAAGTATTAACCTGTTCGGAAAAGGAAACACAATATCGTCGAACTTTTTACTGTAGTATATTTCAAACATATTTATCAGAAATTGTGTTTTTTATATGCGAATTTCTGGAAAAGTAGATGGTCAACGATTTTTTTATAATATTTCTACAAGTCTTTTTTATTATTAAGAGGAAGATTTAGTTGCGTAAACGTGAAGCCAGCATTTTTGTAATAAATAGTACTATGACTTCAATTATCTCAGTTTCGATATGATCAATTTTACGTATGCGCAGATCGATTGATGTGCTGCCAAAAAGATTTTTAAGAAAACAAATTTACGGGCCGATTACCTTGAGACAGAACGTCGATACGTTCCTCTGTTATCAAATTCTAAAGCAACTCTCTCCGACGATTCCGTCATCGGTGAACATTAAGCGCCGTCTATTTTCTTCGCGCGATAACCAAGAGGGAGAGAAACTAAAAAACATCGGTTAAACCAAGTTTATAAATTTGACCGAGAGCGAGGTGGCCGCATTAAATGTGCGGAAGCGTGGATGAAATTCGCGGCGATCGTCCGATCGCGGGAGTGATGCGTCGCCGCGGGACGGATATCTGGTCTAATAGCCGCCATAAAATCAGAACAAGACCGATCGTCCGGAAGAGTCATAAAACCCTCCAGGAGTTTCTCGGGACTTTCCGTCGTGATTACCTTCCTAGCCTTTCCTGCAGGATCCATCAATCTCTCTCTTTCTCGAGCGAGGTATACACGAACGCATCATTCGACGAGTGCACCACGCATTTTGCCGTCCCGGGAAAATTTACCGATCACTCGCGCTAAATCGCAGTTGCTCGATTCGACGTCAAAGCTCCGACCGTCGTTTCCGAATCTTTTCGATATAATTTTTGATTTGGTATTTCTCGCCAAAATACTTCTCTTTAAAGTCTGCTGATAACGCACGAGAACGACGAATACAATTGATAACGTCGAAGTAAAAATTCATGAAACTTATAAATTTTGTGATACATTGTGTTAACATACAGAGAGAATATTATTATAGCCTTTTTTTCATGTAAATTCTTTTTTAGAACGTTGCCAAGATAAATGTATACATAGATTATTCCTCGATCTTACGGCACTTTAAATATTGTGTGTTTGGCTTTTCAAGCTCATACTGTTTTATAAAATATCTTTCCAATTTCTTTCGAATAAATTTTTAACTTCAATTCCTGAATGATATAAATAACACGGCACGATTGGAAGAATAAGAAATTAAAGTGTTTCTCAATTCTATAGTTTGCCACATCAAACTCTCTCCGCGTATTGTCGCAGTAAAACGAGGCGATTGTACAGCGGAGCGTTAAAATACACACTTCAACGGCGGAATGCGCCTAAACAAGAATTCCGCGACGTGGATATATTGCAGAACATTCGTCACGCTATTATTACCGCTCGTCCTCGGCGATATAATATTTTACATCCCTGGCAATCTCTTCTCTCATCTATCTTCGCCGAAACTATTTCGTCGACCCTTCGTCCACGACGTCGGAATCTCGGCGAAATCTGACCCTCTTTGACTTTGCCGGAAGAATTTCCGGCCCACAAATTGAAATCCCTATCGTTGCAGATTCCTGAAGACCTTCTACAGGGAACTGGGCACCCGCGACCCACCCCACCTACCGCCATGGACGTCCCCGCTTCCGCTCGGCACTCTCTGCCCGGCGCACTTTCAACCACACCTGCAGCTGGTGCACAAGAGCGAGCAGGAGCACCGTCTCGAGAACATCAAGCCCGACCAAATCTTCGCCCCTGTCAGGGTGAGTGTCGTTATAATCTTGGACTAGAAGAATCCAATTATTATTGCTTTCGTAGACGAAAGGTACGTCGCGATACAAAGGGTTAACAAGGAATAACTTTTTTAATGGAGAACGTGCGATATCTGTGTTTGAAATCCTCGATATTATTTCGAGCCTAGCAATACTTCTTATCATCAGTATGTCGCATTATATTCCTAAAAATACATCACGATGGGAATAGGATATCAGATATTTGGCGAGTGCTACATAATAACTACGGCTTGCAGTCTCATCTTCGTGCCGTCAAAAGGATTTCCGGCTCGCGTGCCGCACGAGAGGATGAGCGACATCCTTGAGTTTTATCGAAACGGCGGATCTTTCGCGAATTTGCATGATATCGACTATGTAATTGCGTCTAGCAGCGTCCGAAGAAGCCGCGAGAGAGTTTCTTCCACCTACCCTACCTAACCGTCGAAGACTCGAAAACTCAGCTTGCAACTTCCCTCCGGAATGTGAAAGCCAAGTTGGTGTCGTCCGACTGCAGAGGGTTAAAAAGAGGAAGAGAGAGAAAAAGTTTCGCCAACTTCCTTCCCATCGCGATTCGCTGTCTCGTAGCACAGCGGCTATACGAGATCGCTCGACTTCTTCTTCTTCTTCTCACGCCGGTCTCTCGAGATGCGAGTGAAATGCAGTGATGCTCGAATCGACACGCTCACGATTTATGGTCGCAGTTCGCCGCCGTTCCGTAGAGAACGGACCGATTAGATCGCGTCCGGGATCGATTTTCGCGGCCGCGTGAAGGTGGATGCGTGAGCGATTTAATTGGCTCACGTTTGTCCGCCGAAAAAGAATTAACAACTACGGAAGAGCTGCCGGGGGGAAGAGTAACGTTGCAAGGGAGAATCCCTGGGAAGAACGTACATCCGATGAAATCGATCCTCGTCGAATTTCACGGGATGCAAATTCGGAGCGCAGCTCCGAGCCGCCGACCTCGGTGCATTTTTTTCCCGAGGAATTCCTGCCTCGTTCGATATCTCGCGGCGTAACGCAAAGAGTGCGTGAGAGAGAGAGGAGAAGGAAAGAAAAAGAGAGAAGCGTTTATTTTAATTCCAGGGCACGTCCTTTAAGATAGCAGCATCGTAGACTGCCGTATTTTCATTAAAGAATCCTTATATAATTTTATTATTTATTCTGAGAGAAACTTTCCTATAACTTTACTTAACTATCTGAGTAATAAATGTTAATTTTGAGTGAAATTAAAAGAAATGTACATACAATATTATAATCACGAAGATATTATTTTTTTTTTCTTATTAATATTTTATGCGCCAGTTGAGTTACATGTATAATAGAAAGTGGTATATAAATATTTAAATATGTATCGCGGGTATTACAAATTGTAACTTTCTTATGGCTAAATTTTCAAAACAAAATAATTCTGAAATTTCTGTACGATGTTGCCATATTAACATCGCAATAGTTTTTTCATTAAACTTCTAAATTTCGTTTAGAAATAATTAAAAATAGAAGTTAAAAGCAAGACCTCAAATGTCATCGTTAATTACGAATATCTCATCTCCCGAATGTTCAATTGTTTTACGCCAAATATTCAAATCTGTATATAATGTAAGTTTCAATAAATTCTGAAAAAAATTCATTTTTTGTTACTACTGCTTTAAGGATATTTGCAATACTAGGCAAAGGAAGTCTCGACAGTTTAACAAATATTATAAGAAAAATAATAGAAATTAGAGAAACAAAAATTAATAACTAAAAATATGAAAGAGAGAGAGAAAAGGCCGCAGACAATGCGCCACGTCGTGCGCTCACGTCGAAAAATGAGCTTCGTAACCGTCGTCGGGAGCATACGTGAGGTAGGAAGGAAGGCAGGCGGACGCAGACCAGGGCGTGCACCATAAGCACACGAGAATGAATTCGCGTCATAAAACCGACGTGCTTCCACCGCGAAAATAAAGGAGTGCGCCGAACAGACAACCCCCTTAAGAATCGCCCTTTTAGAACCGCCAAATGCACTCTCGCCGGTACTTCGTTCGCGCGTCGGAAATTAAAGGTTCGACTTGAAAAAAGTCCGTACGCGAGCGCCAAAGAGCTGGAGACGTGCTTTCTCCATATCGAGTCTTTCATTGTTTCGTCAAGATTTTTACTTTTTGAGAAAATCCTTAACGATACGAAATATAATATCTCTAAAATTATTCAATGATATAGTAAGTATTTATTAAACAATAATATTTCTAAAAGTAAAATAAAAAATCGAAATCAATTCTAAAATACTAAATAGAATAAATATTGATTTAAATAGAAATATTTGATTGATTTATCTATGTCGTTTAATAGAACCCGTTTAGATCCAGATGTAGTTTACACATCTTGAAAAAACTGTCCCAATTTTTTGGTCAATTTTCTAACTTTTTATAATAAATTTGTTAATTTCTTCTTGCTACTGTTAAAAAAACACCTATCTTCATAAAAATAACATGAAAAATTTCTAAAAATAAAAGCATCAAAGAATTAATTTGGTGACGAGATTTTTTACTTCTTAATTGCGTATCTCTCTCGACGGAATTATTGCCCAAGTATTTCATTCGAGTAAATTCTTCTCTAAAATCCGTCGAAAAGTATCCTTACAAAGCATATTTTTCAGTTGAATCACGCCGTGCAATTTTTTATCTTACTTTTTTCTTCGTGCTTGAGAAGAATTTGCCGGCAAAAATTCGGCGCCGATTTTGTCAAAGGATTCGTCAACGAGAGCAACGATGTGGTTGTATGTATATACAGCAGAAGGAAAAGCAACACACACAGTTCTCCGCGCTGTTGGACATGACTCGCGCGGAAAAATCCCGTCGCCGCGAAATGAAAATATCGACGCCGATACTTGAAAAAACGAACGATTAAGACCCTCGAGTCGGTGGTTCAACAAAAATATGGGAAACCGGATGGGGGCGCGACTTGGTTTTTCTACAAACACAGCGAACGGAAGCTGCAAAAAATGATGGCAACCGCTCGCGGTGGTGTGCTATTTGTATTATTCACGGCGTATCGAGTAACGATCACTGTTCGCTAATGGACCTTATGCGCGGCGAAGTTTGCTTCTTCGCTCGTTCATCCGCACGCGCTGGACTGCTTCGTAAAATGTAGATACGGGCGAGGATAATTTGTAAAAGCGGCGGAACACCACAGCTCCATACTTTTTACAACTCGCGAGAATGTCAAATATTATTATATCGCGGAGACAGTTCTATTATTACAGCAAAGGAAAATAAAAGAAGAATCTCGGCGAGCGTTCCAGAAAGTTTTGTTTTCGACAAGATTCGAGTTCACAACCTCTTCGTGAACTTTGCGAAAGAAAACACTTTAATCCTTTGAGTCCTCTCGCGCATTCTTAAGTACTTGCACAGAGGTATGAATTTTGAGCAATAAAATGTGTCAAATGTAATTTCAGATAATTAAACAAAAATGAAGTAACTCGAACGCCTTTGATTGTTTGTGGTTTACACCTTCCATATCTCGTTAACGGAGTTGAATTGACTCATTGTTACGTAACTTTTTTTGTTCAGAATAACAAATATGCTAACGAAATTTGTCGGTTTATTCGCGGAATATAATAACAGCTTTATGAAAAATATATATGTGCATATATATTTTATCGCGCAAAGTCGCTCGGATAAATGCGGTTCTGTTGAATGGAACGCGCTATTTTTCATTTGCGGCATCCCAATCGGGGAAATAATAGCCGGTGTTATCCGACAGATTGTGCGCGCGACTGGATAGATTATTGCTGACAGAGTGAATGGCCGGCAAACGCACGGATTACGGTTATCGATTACAGAGCGGAGACTGTTTGCCGATGTCGGTCGATCGTCAGTTAACGCGCTAAAGTTTAAGTGCACCGGCCGGGTTTGTGCGATGTCGTAACCAACACTTCAAGTTTCACCCTTGTTTGTCCCGCTAAACATGTAGAGATCGAATGAATCGTACGAAGAGCAAACGGAGCATACTTGCCGGCGAACACGTCGAATACTTCATCGAGGGTATATGTGTGGAAAACTAGCTCGGGTAGAAATTTCAAACGAGGACTGGAAACACAATCTTTCCTCACTTGTATCTAAGCCCCGGATCTATAATGCAGTACAGTAAGTCGCAATTACAATCGATTGTGACAAAGTTTAATATCGTGACGCTATGTGTGCGTCAATAAAATATTGTTACATTTAAGTTAACGACGCAGACATGCTAGCGCCTTGAGTAGCTGAAGCTTTATAACGCTTTTAAAAATCAGTCGGACAAATGAAATCCCTTCGAATTAAATCATGCATTAATCTGCATCGTCTTGCTGACTCGAGAAGAAATTTTCAGCTGAGCGACGGTACCGTGTCGGAAGCGCCGCGACGTGTCGCCGTCGAAGGTGGCCCAGGAAGCGGCCGCACCACACTCTGTCTGCGACTACTTCACCAGTGGGCGACTCAAAGCGACGGTCCCGCTCTGGCGTTCATTGTTCCCCTGCGCGAGCTCCGCGGCAGCCCCGTGCTCACTTACCTGGCGCGAGAGCTCTTCCCGAGAACGGCCGCGCTGGGCGATGCGGTCTCGCAGGTGTGGCGCACCTTGCATCTCATGGAGGACCGCGTGCTCTTCGTCTTGGACGGCTACGACGAGTGCGTGGGCGGCAGGGCGTCGCTCGGCGACGCGGCCGATCTCCTGGAGGGTCGACTGTTCCCGGACGCTAGGATCCTGGTCACATGCTCACCCAACAACTCCGTCGCGCTCTCGCCGCTGGTGCAGCGTAGGGTCCATTTGGCCGGCCTCGAGTGGCAGCACGTGGAACGGCTCTGTGTGGCCTATTTCATTCACAACGACATCGCCGAGAAAGCCTGCGAGTTCCTCGAGGAGCTAAACGTGCAGCCGCAATCCGTCAGGCAGCTCGGTCAGCATCCGCTCGGTTGGATCATGCTCTGCTGCTTGTATCAGGTAGGACTGCATTCTCTTTTGTCAAATCCGCCGTTTTCTTTGCATGCTAAACAAGTGAGAGAATCAAAAAGTTCCAAGAGATTAATCTCAGTAATTACACTGAAATAAGAATTACCAAACATTTAGTTGAAACTATTTAACGAAATGTTTGCTAATTGTTACCAAATCCTTCCTTCAATATGCTTTCTCTGTATCATAGCAACTTATCAAATAATAACTCGCCTTTTTGTCGTTGTGGCACCTAAGTTATATCGATGCTCGTGATGAATAGAACGGAAAAATTGAAATCGCGGGAAAATTAAATGCGATAGTCCTTTGAGAGTTTAAGGTTGACCTGCGGACGATCTACCCCCGGAATAAGGGGAAAATTGCTGGGAAATGCGGGCAACATGTTGACGAATCTCTATCTCGCGCAAATTAATACCGCTCGATATGATATAGCCGATCCGGTTAAATACGCTCAACGCGGCATACATGTTACACGAAATAATTAATTCACCGAATGCGTCGCGCGCGGAAATTACTCAGTGTTCACGCGCTCGCGCAGAGTATTAGCTTGATAATCAATTTAACTAAATCGCGTGGCGACCGCGAATGAGTCACCTTCGTCGTCCGCGTGCGTGTATAACGAATTCCTACCGCACATATCCACATGTACTAACTAAACAACAGAATAACACGCAATGTAATCAGATTATTTGGATTTTCTAATCATACATATTATTGATTTATTATTTATTGATTGTGCTTAAAGAAGCGGCAACGTTGTGTCCAATCGTTGTGATAGCTTCACATTAATTTCCACAAACAAATCAGTGCAGTTAAATACCAGTAATCTAATTACACCGCGTTCGTTAAAGCTATTCTAATGTAATCTTTAAATTTTTGCGAAGGAAATTCCACTCAAAGAGTAATTCGAGTGAAAATTTTCTATAGTTGAAAAAAATTTTTTTTTTATTTTCCATGGAAAACTCGAAAAAATGCTTGGGAAAAATGCGTTTTTTCACAAGAAGAAATCGAAAAAAAAAACCACGGAAAAAAACAGATCTTTTCCGCCTTTAAAACTATAGAATTGTCCGCTCTGAATCGTCGAATGAATACTTTTATTCGACACTGAAGAACCAATCTGAACAACTACACTGAAAAAGAGCAAATTTCGCAGGAATAAATTCATTCTAATCGACTGATTTATTTATATGAATCTATTCTACGCTTGAGCGAAACATTTATCAGAAGCCATTCAACAATTACATCATGCTAAATTTGGATATCCCTTCGTTACACAGTCTGTGATCCCTTCCAATAATATGTATAATTAACCCCCCTGCCGACACATAGAATAAAATAAATAGCTTATAACCGTATTGCATTAAACTGCACATATTACATCAAATTAATTACCTTATTGTATAATTCTCATTGATAAAAGTTTTAAAAGAATAAACATTTTGATTATAAAACCATGCCAAAACCGAAAAATTCTCACGAAATGTGTGAAGCAAATGTTCAATCACGAATGAAAACAAAGTGGTCAAAGTGGACGCGCATCCATATTTACAGGTTATACAATGCGACGTTCTAGGGCTTCCCTCCTTCCGCAAACCCCTTTGCCCCTTAGTACGAATGAACGTTCACTCAGTGAGAAACTTCACTGTGCGAAATTTCGAGAGAGGAACGCGTAGCAATAGAGCGCGTCGCAAAAAATGTCACATCCTTCCTCCACCAGGATTCCGGTAGTCTGCCGACCGAGACAAGCGCCCTCGTGCAGGCTGCGGTGAAATGCATCGTGAAGAGGAGCCTAGAGCCGCCGATACCGTACAACGAAGAGATCCCGGGCCACTGCAGAAAACGTCTCGAGGACTTCGGCAAGGTGTCCCTGGCCGCGCTCAGGGAGGGTAGATGCTGTTACACCGAGGCGGAGCTGAGGGCGCGCGGCGGCGGCATCGAGGTCACCCGACTCGGTCTCCTCACGCGAGGTTTAACCTTCGGCCAGAGACGCAAGCCGGACCTCTACACACCCATCCACATGGCAGTGGCGGAGTTCTTGGCGGCGTATTATCTCACCTCAGTCGCGCAATACGCCAACATCCTCCGCCGCGAGCTGGAGGGCCTGCCGTCCGGCATCATCGGCCACCTGGCCGGCTTGCTGGGCCCCAAGACCCACCTGATACTGAACCAACTGTGCCCGCTGGAAGTGCCACCCAGAGCTGTGTTCTCGTTGCTGAAGGCGGCCGGCGCGTCCGACGGCAACATCTCCGCGGTCTGCCGGCTGGTCGGCGCCGGGCCCGGCTTTGGGCCCGCGCCAAGTGAGAGGCCGCCGGCACCCTTGGTACATACATCGCCGCTCGAGCTGGAGGGCTGGGCGAGGATCTTGGAAAGCTCCGCTTGCACATTGGAGGCCCTCGAGGTAGTGTTCCAAGTGGAGAGGGGATCCGATCCGCGTTACCTCGACGACTTCTTCGACGCGCTCGCTAGTAACGAGAGCGTCAAACTCGTCAGGATCACGTCCCTCTTGGGACAAGAGTTTCCGGCGGACGAGGCGCAGCGATTGGCCGGACACCTGAAGAGCGTGCTCGGCAAGAAGAAGCTCAACGACTTTGAGCTTGTCATCACTTGCCTGGAGGAAGCGGCCCATGACAGGTGAGTGAGAGAACGCGCTTCCTCCAACTCTAAATTTCTTCTCTTCCCTCGACGGAAACTTCCGGACAGCTCGCGAGATCGCTCCGAACGCTTAGACGGATTAAACTATCTGCCGGTTCTCGTCGTGTTACATAATCGAGGCGCGCCGACGTTACTTCTCGTCGCTGGCAAGTCGGCACATTGAAAGTTTCCGAACGGGATCCAGTATGATTTTCGAAAAAACGGAAAGTGGACTTGTATTTATTATATTGAAAATTTTCATTACGAAATCTATATTGGATCAAGTTGGAAATGTAATACTTTAAGCACGCGAATCCAGGTGAGAAACCTAAACAAGTCTCATTTGTTCTTTCATATTTTTCCAGAGATTTATCCCAATTTTTTGTTTTCAGCAGTCTTTAACTAAATATATAGAATACTTACACTTCTCACAGGTATGAATATATAACTAATGTAAATAGCACCCAAGCGTTTTACATATTGTTGATATAAAAATGGGATTCCCAATTTGATTCCATAAAAGTGTTTTATTCGCTAAAAAAAGTGCGAATTCCCGTTTTATTTCTAATCGATTTTACGCTGAAAAAAATGCTATCTTTCAAGTAATATTTACTTGATCCAAATAAAACAGTTACTCCAGTCATCTTAGCAGATGTTGGCAGATATATTTACTAGAAGTAGAAATATAATTGATTGTACACAATATATTTCCTTTGTACAAGTAAAGTTTTACGTATTAAATATACTGCGACAAATATTAAATTTATAATACTGAGATAGAATTTATTTTTAGAAAATATTTACTGGACAGAAAAATCTAATAAAATCTATTCAAATATACTTAAATTGTAAAAAGAAAATAATAAAAATATTACTTAAGTGGCAATTATGTTTATTTGATTCTAACTTTTTTTTTTTATATCAAATAGGAATAGGAGTTTATAAGAAAGAGATTCGCAATTTATATCATAGTGAGATAAGCTATTTTGAGGGCAAATTTGAGCAATTTGATCTCTATGCTAGGAAAATCTTGGGAAAAATTGTTATGTCTGCGTCACATCTCCTGCAACATTTTCACTTTTTAGCTCACAAATGATTCGTTTCCCTCTCATTCATTTCACTACTTTCATCGTTATTTGCCTCCGTCTACTCGTATAAATTTCCCGCGCCGTTGTCTCGTCGAATCTCTCGATTAACAATGGATCGTAAGGACGATTTTCCGCGGCGAAAAATACTCGAGCACCGTCGGTGGAGTCGACTCAATAGCCGGAAGGATAAAGAACCTGGCGAATGTGTCGGCGTTATTGTGCCTCGATACGGCGACGTCGATAGCCTCGACGTCGACGACGAAGAATTATTACGGGAAGCCAGCTTGTCCGCTCGGTCGTATATGAGGTTGACCAAGACAAGGGGGAGGGGAGTCAAGGAGGATATTTATTCTTCCGTGCGTCAAAGAAGAAAAAAAAAACGCGCGCACACGGAAATCTGTATTTGTAGTCAGTCGCGCGAAAACGTTGCGCTTATCCGAGACGAAAGTTATTATATCTTGCGGAGACACGAACGGGGATTTCAGATAAGTATACTCCGGGACTTACTATTACCAGCATTTGTTTAATAAATCGTTGCCGAATACTGCCGAACACGGCAGTTGTCCCGGACGGGGCGCGGTCGTGCACCGAAAATGATAATTGGATAGCTCAATACATTGTGTGACCGTTCATTCGACCCATTCATTTCATGATTCATCACTGAGAGAGGGAGAGAGAGAGAAAAAATTGACGGATCTACCCTTTTGCGCCACGCCAATAAAGTTTGTGATATACAAAAAATGTAAGCAGCAAAATTTAACGCTTAGACTGCCCAGCTGGTTTCGAGTGTATAGCCCACAAAGTCCGCAACGCGTGCAACCATGTATAGACGGTCGGAATACAAAACAATCGGTCCTCCTTTGCATATCAATGAAAAATCTAATAGTTCTCGAAAAATTAATGATCGACATCTAATCGATCACCGACTTGTTGAGTCCGGAAATGATAAATGGGACGAATTTTATTTTCAAATTTCTTGTTAATTCTCATATTACAAGAGTTATGGAAATTTTTGGCACTTTTTATTGTACGCGAAAACTGTACGATGCAACAGTACTTGCTTGGTCAGGCCGAACTCGGCAAAGTGTTAAATCTCTGTTCACGTCGCAAAATTATCGTCTCAGCGATAAGTTCGTGGATTTAAGACCAGTATTTTAAACCCTATGTGTAACGCGTTAAATATTCATTATTAATGTTTGAGCCACCGCGGGCGGTATAAATCATTGGAATTTTACCGCGTCGACCGAGCGTTTCCATCTGGTTCGCGCGATTCTCACAGAAACGTCAAAATTGAAAAATTTGTTTTGTCGTCGGAGCGAGAAGCGACGAAAAGGTCCGTCGCACGGATATTTGTCTTCGCCCCGGGGCGGCAGGACGTGGAAAAAGCGTGTTTACCTTACGAGCCGGGCGAATATACATTTGCATAGTCGCGTGGCCCGCACGTGAGAGCTTTCACCAAAGAAAACCGTCCCCGCGGGAAACCAGTGGCGGCTTGAGAACGAGTGGCGCTGAGATGCGACGAAGAGATTAATACGAGCCGTTATTATCGATTTCCGAAAAATCCAGGCATTTTTCAAGGTACAATCTGTCATAGATAAAATTGTTCTTCGTTATCAATAGATTAGATACTATTTTAATATATCGCACAGGAACAAATTAAATAGAGGAGAGGTAATATTCCGCATTTTGCAATAACTTTGTTAATAATCAAATTGAAAACTTAACGATTTGTCAAAGTCGATCCTAGATTCAAATGCTAAAATGTAAAAGCTTTATTTATTTTTAAAATGTTTGAAAGTGAGAATGCGTTACAACAAGTACCGTCTATTGTGTATTGGCATATTAGCGCAACGGCGGATTGCTAAACAAATGATTCCACAAGTAATCGCTAGAATATGTTATAGATATCGAGGAGGGGGGGCATCTGCTCCTCTTTCTTCTGAATTCTTTTTTCTGAATATTAATTTTCCGCTGCTTGCTTTTATATTTAACTCAAATATCTCTGTAAGCAAAAAGGATTTTCTTTTTTGCGAAAAAAGGAATTATATCTTGTATATTAATAATAATAATAATGATTCTGGAAAGATTGTTTCACGCATCGAAACATTTGCGAACGCGCTTCTGTTGAATTCCGCACGCGCTGGAAATGACGGATTTTTGCGCTATAATTAGACTGCTGGAACGGCGTTATACCGGAATTTCACGTATTAACTTTCCCAATTTGCTGCATTGCCCGCAATTTTATTAGCGAGTGTACGCAATCCTCCCCAAGCGCTCTCGCTTTCGGAGACCCTCTCGAGGCGCTTCTTTGCGTTCCCCTTCTCTTTCTTCCGCGGAGGACTTTAATTTCTCGCTTACAATCCCGGCTTAACTCGAATTCCGCTCCACCTGCTCGCTCCGTCTCATACGCGCCTCCGGTCGTTTCGGGCTTTTATATTTGTCGATTTCCCCGCTTTACTCTCCCTTTCTGTGCCTCCCCGAGGAGACGGAGAAAGTATTTCCGAGCGTTCGTGAACTTCTCGATTTACCGATGAACTTTCCATCGCGCCGACCTCGAATCCGAAACGCCGTTTCGCTCGCTCTTTGGAATATATTACTCGGTCCACATTCAAACGGAATCATTTGCAGAGAAAAATTATCGTTACATTTTTTTTCTTCTTCTCTTTATATCTGAACTATTTAATTTATCCTGTTTATTTCGATTTGATTCGCTTTATTTTACAGTATTGCTCGGAGATATTTATTTATGGACATAACTTCCCTAAATTTCAGTTGTGTTATGTAAGTTTCACCTGTGGCAGCTAGTTTTTAGCTGTGGGAGTTAATTCTTTTTTTCCGTAAAAAATACGAAATCGTCGTACGTCTGACAACACGCGAGATTCCGCAAATTTCCGCTAAGTTTTCGCGTCAAAATATCGCGTGAAAATCTGACGAATCTTTTTCTCCGAGCGATTACGGCTAGACAACTCGAACGAAATTTTCAAACGGACCGCGATATTTCACCGTGCGCGTTTTGAAGCGTCTGATTACCATGCAAAGTGGCCAAGTTGCGTCGCTGGAGTTTTCCAATTCGGAATTCTTCTCATCGCACGAGGAAACGTTTCCGCGGATTATCGCGCGCGCCTTCCGAGTATGAATTCTCTCCGTTCGAGGATGGCCAGGCAGCAACGCAAGTGTCCGATTAATATTACAATGCTGTTACGCGAATCCCACCGTTCCTACAATTGCCGCTTAGTTGCAACTTCGCGAACGCCTCTTAGCGAAATACAAGCTTCGGCTCGCAACGGGCAATTATGCGCGGAATAAAAAACTGCGATCAGTGACGTGCAAACTAACCAACGGAAATCGGTAGAAGAAAGATCTGGTGAAAGAAAATGAGTGGGAAATAAGGTATATGGATAAATGCTTTTATTATTTCTACAAAATGTGCGTAATTATCTGTATCTTTCAGCCTCTTAAATCGAGCAATATTTTTCAATCAATTTAAGTATATTTTCATTGTGCTTGTGGTAAATATTCATTTCAATACAGTAGTTCCTTAAATTAATTACCGAGTGTAAAATAGCTCTTCAAAATTTATAAGAGTACATTGGGAAGAAAATACTTGAAAATTTATTTGTACGTATGGTTTATTTCACAGAAATGAGATTTATTTCGATGAAATAAACCTTAAGTTTCACAAATAAATGTTTAATTCCTTCTTTCTCAGTGTATTTACTAGAATTATGTAATACTTCTTTTCCATCGGACACACCTAGTGATTTTACTTAGATTCTTCTGTCCAGAAATATTATGTGAATATTTTCTGAAAATAAATATATGCTTATACGATGGTAACATCATATTGTATACAATCCATCATATTTCTATTTCGAGTAAATATTTGCCAAGGAATATTGGCAAAACCATTTTACTTGTATCAAATAAATAATTGAACGATTTTTTTCAGTGTAGGTTATTTCCTCTAAGACGTTGTTACTGTATTATACATTTATTATAATAATTTTTTTAGACGAAAGTTTAGCAAGAAAATAAAAGGAAGCAATACTAAACAGGAAAAAGAAAAACAGGTCGGGCAAATTATTATGCTGAGGATACAAAAAGAAAAAACAAAGGCAAAAGAGAGAGAAATATACTGAATCCGATATTGAGGAAGGGACCGGCTGAAATTCCAGGAACGATGGTTCCTAAACACTCACGCCACTGGCTCGGCCAATTTTCGAGTATCCCCAGCGCGATGCAACGCGAACATCAACCTTCCCGCCGTCGGTATCCTACGGGCGAGAAAATCCGGGCTCTCGCTTACTGCTCCTGGAGGAGCGCGGGACTTTGCATAATGCGTATCAGCGCGCCGAGATCCGGTGAGATAACGGCGGCGAATAGACAGTGTGAAATGTGCATTACGCATGCATAAATATACGCCGACGAGTATCTCGCCCGAAATTCCGCGCCGCTAAACTCGCCGACCGAATTCACATCGGTTACATGCCGAAAGTGCATCCGCGTAAAGCCAGCCCCGAAAGTGCACTCCCCTCTTTTGGCGTCCTACGTCGCGCGACGTTACAGACGACGGCAGTTTTTCCGACTTGTCACGCCGATGGGAATTCTCGCTCGTATCTTCCGCGTAATTCAGCCGCGCGTTTCAGCCGGAATAAACGTGCGAATATAAATCGATACGACGCGTATAATCCGTAGAAAATTCATTCCGCTTTGCGATCAATTCCCGCACGAATATCGATGAGCGGCGAAATTGTCCGCAGCGGATGTCGCGCTCTTGATGATTCCTTACCGAAGAAAGGAACAGAAATGTTCCTTCATCGATTTTGTGATGTTGATATATTCTAAAGATGACACTTTTTTTACACAGATTTCTTTGGATCTAATGAAATTTCTTTAATTGAAGCAAATTTCATTTTTCGAACGGAGCACACAATGTTTGATTTAACCAATAGGATTGTTTGCTTTCTCAAACAATAAATATCTTTACGTCAAATAACATATTGTATTTTTATTCAAATATTACAACGGTTATTCCTTAATATTTAACTTTTATTTTTAATTGCTTCTAAACCAGGATTTAGGATTTTAATATGTGATATTGAGAACTAATACAATTATACTTTATCTTACCTTACTATATTCAGAAGCGGGAGACTTTCCTTGCAACTACTGTAACTTCGGTTTAATTTAATCAATTTAGCGCTCGAAGTGTTAATCGACTGTACTGAGCGTGCCCAAGACGTTTAACGGCGTCATTAACTACTGATTTCAGACTGGAATGCGTGGTGAACGCCCTTTGTCGCGGCCTCGCTCACGCCTCCGGCAGCCTGTCGCGTCTGGTGCTCGACATGAATCTGTCCGGCGAGCAAGTATCCCGAGTCTGCGAGGCACTTCGCGGCTGCATTCAAGTGCAGGCGCTGCACTTGCCCCATTTAGGCTGCGGGTGCGAGGGCCTCGCCTCGGTCGCTGAGTTGCTGAAGGAGCGGCCGCTGTTGGCTCTCAATCTGGCTGGCAGTTGGGGCGCCAAAAACGAGGATCCGTCCAGCTCTGGCATCAGTATGGGTAAAACCTTGCCGATATTCCCCCCGCCTCCCTCCGCATAATTTTTGACAATAACACGTTCTCGTCTACGTGATCAATGTTTACAAGCTGATTTGAATATCAAAAATAAAAAAAGAATGGTTTAAATAAATGCTGCAAGTAGAGAGATAAAGGAAGGCGACCATTAATATATAGAGAAGTACACACACTGTATTTTAATGAGAAATTCCCTTTTTTCGGTTCATTTATATCGAAAGTACGTACAAGTATCCCACTGGTGAATTGCCTTGACAAAGTTTCGAGCTTCGCCGACGAGCGGCGTCAATGAATTTTCCATGAAATCGCATTCCGTACATTATTGCCGTGATCACTTCCAACGCACTCTTCGCGAATGAATCAGCTCTTTTGTACATTTTCATAGAATAATACCGTCGCAAGCTCTTTGATCGTCGCAACAAGCTATTATTTTTGCATTCACCACTCAAGTATACCTTCACTGTAAAAGTATTTACAATTCTGTGCAATCAATAAGACTCTGCAGAAAAAAATCAGTCGGTAAAGTTTTCTCCTCTTTTCTTTTGTCGTCAATATTTTTCCGAGATATATTCACTTTATAATGAAAATTCCCGATCTTTCACGAATTCCCTCTCGTTATCTGCTGAACGTGAGCACATTTTTCTCCTTGATGTTTCCTCTCGTCCGGGCACGGCTTAGCATTGAAATTATCTAAACACGGCGATAATGGAAAATTAGTGCAGCCTCGGTGGGTCGGTGGCGTAATAATTTCGGTTCCGGTTCTGTCCCCGTAATGGGTTAAATTATTCCGACGTGCGCGACAATTCACGCGGGACGTCTCCGAGAAAACGTCGCGACGTACTATAAACCGATAGGCAACAACATTGTATACATCGTCCGACTCCCCGTTGCGTGCAGCTCGCGATGCTTCAGTGCGACGCTCTAAAATTAGAAACTCGCGAAACGGTCCGAAAGAGAATGAACGGCAATGAACTTCGACCCTTCCGCAATTTGGAGCCGAGCTATTTGCTCGATTTATACGATAGACCATAAGAGAGAGAGAGAGGCAGTTACCGCGCAAAACGCTGAAACGGCCATCAACGGTTAATGTATACGGTTTTTTAATGGGGAAAACTCATAAATTAAAAGGAAAGCTCGTCGATATACGATACCAGCGGCTGCTTTAATGTTCGATCTCCGATGAGATCGAGACGGTTTTTAAGGTTATCGCTCGAGGGATTGTGAAATATTACAAAACATGCTAATGAAGAAAGTGTACTCTCGAAGATATTTCAACGTGAGCCTCGTATCTGCGAATTAATATTTCATTTCTATATATATACACAGTAAAATATTGTGCATACTTGTGTTAATTTTTCGACCGCACACTTCTGAAAAGTCGTTTGCAAAACAGGGTCATATTTTGCGCGCGATTTTCTAAATTTCATATTTGAAAAACTGTGAAAGAAGCTGACAAAATTCTAGAGTAAAATGTAACCCTTCTACTTTAATGTTTGATCATGTATTCGTAGAAAATCAAGTTTCGAGTTACTGAAAGAAATTCGAATGTAGACAGTGGTCTCGCGAATGCGGTAGTATTGTACTTAAAAAATCGTAATTTTTTCACTTTTTACTATTTTGACTGTGGGGCGATGAAAGATAGTTCTAACAAGAAAAAAAATGAGTCCATATTTGCATTACATTAAATTAACATTGAAATGAAAGTGAGCCGTTTAGTGCAAGTGAAATGTGTCGAATTCAACGCAAAATTTTTTGCTACCTAGGGAAACCGTATTCCTATAGAGGCCAATTAAGGCTTTTAATTAGACAATGTAAGAATTCGCCGTCACAACACGCGTCGAAAAAATCCCGTGCTCTCCGATAACGTCTCTTCACCTACCTCGGAGGAACTACACCCAGGGTGGTTATTTCCTTTGCGTTCGTAAAATACACGCGCCGCGTTTGTACATGCACGTACACACTAAGCCGCGCTGATAAAAGCCACCCCTCGTTCATTCGCAGCTACTGGAAGGAGCTGGTAATTACCGACACCGGCGGCACATACATAAACCTTCGCTTCACCGTCCAATTCCGCTTACAAGAGCGAGCGAACGTCGTTTCTCCGCTCGCTCTTGTAAGCGGAATAAACGCTAAGAGCCGGCGTCTTCTTCCGCCCGCGTAAATTGCCAATCGATCAGACGCGCATCAATTTGAAGCTGGGAAAAAGATCGCGATATCCGAAGATCAGTTTCCCGCGATTCGATGAGCAATAGGTTAAACGTTTCTTTCTTTGTTTTTTCACGTTTTCAATACGAAGAGCTGAAAAGGTCTCAAATTACCAACAATTATCGAGTAAAATTAACGGGATAATTTGCAGATAAATAACTTTGTTAAGATAATACAGAAAAACGAATTGCTTATTATTGTTTGTCTGGCCGATATTTATTCACGAAAGCAATCGTTCGTTTGAACTTTTTCTTTCTCGCCAAATTCGCAAAGGGGCATTTTGACTGACTTGTTTACCTCAGTCGCGATATTTGTCGTTTTATTTGCACAGTAAGAGAGCAGCAGTATGTGTCTCGGATTCATGGTCGCGTAGCGACGTTAATCCGAAAGTTTTTCTAATGGCACCACATTCCGGTCACATAATGGCTCGAGACGAGACCGAGCGCTATTACAACTTTCGGACTGCGCGAGGTCTATGCAATTAACGATTATTATGTTAGTCCGGAAACGAGTTTGTTTATCAACTCTGCTGAAATGTATGCTCTGCGGTTCACATCATATGCGTATTCATTGAGAGTTCTATCCACTCGCATTTACCCGCTTTGCAGCGATACTTGTCTCACACGAGCTTAATGACTTTCCTCGACGAAGATCTCGGATATCCCCAGAAATTCCGAGAAATCAGAAAAATGATATTTATCCGTTTATTTATAACATGTATGGGAAAAATTCCTTTTTACATAGAAAAACAAAAATTTCTTGTTCTTATTTTAATTGTCATTATTCTCTGAAAATTATTTTTACCAAATTGCGAGTATAGGGTTGTGAAGAGCCAAGCAATCTTTTAGTGCCATAAACAAGAAAGGAAATGGAATAAAAATCGTCATGTGTTTGTGCTAAAAAACAAATCCAAACGTTTCGGTTATATTTGATTCTCTTTAGTGGAATCGCGATGTATAATCGTAATACCGAATTCCGCCGGTAATGCAATGCAAATTGAATGGCAAAAATGCTCAAAAAAGCAGGCCTCAACCAGATATCAACACAACCTCCCTGAAACAGTGTCACAATTTAATAGATTATTACATTAATTTATTTTTTATCCCTCGCATCAAGCATAACGTCGGAGAAATAATATTTCGAGGATTTCAACGAGACAATCTTCGCCACTAGCTGGTTTAAAAATTGTTTTCCGCAGCTTTTTAGCAATCCGACCGGAAGATAATTAATGCGGGAGTATACTCCCGAATTTCTCGCAACATTCCCGAGATGCTTGCTGCTCGATCGGCCTCGATCGCGATCTTCAAAAGAGGATAACCGTTATGCCCACTGAATCGCGTCTAATCAGGCATCCCTTTCTAATCGGTCTGCCTGCGTTCCGCTCCCGTCTTGGTTACGAAATCGCTTTGCATCGACGCTGCAACATCCGCTCGCTCGTCCGACTGACCGACCGATCGACCGTCCGTCCGATGAGCTCGGTTTCTCGCCATCCAATCACGCTAAAACGCCTTGGCGATAACATCGTATCGAAGTCGTTCCAGCAAATACGCGGTGCTGCAAATTTACTTGATTGCTTTAAACAATCCGGTCGATAACACCGCGCAAAAATCGGAAGCGCTGCTCATGTTATTTTTGGAGCGGAAAATCGTATCGGGGTTGCGTGCAAAAGAGGAGAGAATTCGGTCTAAAGAGATTACGTGAGTAACAGTAGTATTTCGACAAAAGTGGATTCGAGAGCTTTTATTTCACAAGAGATTACCACAAGAGGAATCTCGAAAAATTTTCGGAAAAATGGTCGATGTGTTGGAGGAATAAATTGGAAGGGTGCAAAAAGAATCGATTTGTATAATTAACACACGGATGATAAAATCACCAATCGGCAAAATCGAATATCAGAGAACAATATCTCTTTGGATTTAATCAAATTTCTTCAATTGAAACAAGTTTGCCTTTTATATGATGCAACAAATAAATGAATATTTGATTTAACAAACAGTATTGGTTTCTTAAACAATAAATATTTTACGTCAAATTTATCTTTATATTTTCATCTAAATATTACAATGGTTTAGAAGAAGTAACACTGTTAGATAAGAATATTAATAAACTTTTTTGTTTCAGTGGAACAATTAAATTTAATGAAATGAAATACATTTTTTTATTGAAAGCCAAATATTATTTCTTCCAAATATATAATACTTTTTTTTTTATTAAACATGGTTTACTCAAGTGAAGTAACATTTTCATTCAAATACAAAATGATATTTGATATTAAATTATACATATTAATCAAACCCAAGTCAAACAAAAATCACGCTTACCAAATTCGAAGAATTCAAAGAAACTTCTTTCTTTTCTATATAGAAAGATATTAGAGATACTCATAAATAATCAAATATTTACAAGACTTTTTATTCTTATCCTATTTGGGCTGTGCAGTATATAAATAGTATTTTCTTAAGTGCTACATTTATGAACCTTAAAATTATTACATCATCGATTATAAAAAATGATAACTTTATAGAATTTTAAGTATTAATAAACTTGATTACTTATGGCTACTGCTAATATATAAAGGTGAGAGAACGATCAATTCATGAAAAACTTTTACATTTTATTATTACAAGAATTCTACTCAACCCGTCGTTATTTCTACAATTTTCCTCTCGAGTTATATGCAGAGAGAGAATAATGTAGCTTCTTTTCACACGAAATTCTTTCAATTATACTGTGTTTTTTAAAGGGCAGGAATGGACTGTCAGTTTGCTGAGGGTCATAAA